CCTGCATCTGGCCTCTTCCCCTCCTCCATGGCTTCCTTCCAGGCCTCCTGGCCTCAGCCTCTCCCCTCCAACATATCCTCCACTTCACAGCTGGAGGGATCCTTCTAATGCCTTCCATTAACTGGCAAATGGAGACCGTACCACTCCCCTGCTTTAAACCCTCAGGTCTCTGATCAGCTTTTACTCTTAGCAGTGAAATATTTGTCAACTATCATCCTGTTTAGAACCCTGATATAACATGGTTAAAACACTGTGCTTGAAGCAGGAGGCAAGGCCAGGGTTCTGCCTCCTTGGCATCCCTCTCCCCATTTCCAGTGGCAGAGTCACTTTGAGAACTCCCTCAGAGCCCTGGGGATTACAGAAGCACAGTTTGAGTATCTCTGGATCCTCAACAAGGTCCAGGCCCTTAGTACAGAACCCAAAGTCCTTCCCCAGTGGCTCTCCCTGGCTTGATGCACTACAGGTGCTCTCATCATGGCCTGGCCCAGCAGGCTCTCACCTGGAAGACCCTCCTTAAAATCCCCAGTCAAATGTTCCCTCCTCCAGGAAGCCCTCTAGTTGCCTCAGCCCTGCAAGAGCTCCACGCTCTCTTCCTGGCCGCAGGGGCCAGGCAAATGCCAGGCCTTAATTCAGGCCCCCCAGGAAGCCCATGAGCTTTTCTTTCTCCTAAAATTCTGGTCGTAACCCCTCATTCTCTGAGGCACCCATCCTCGTTCCAGAAGTTTCCTGCTAGTGAAGAAGGAGATAGGAAAACAGAAAACCCAGGGGTTCCGAGGATCTGATCCCTGAGGTGTGAACCTGAGCCTTCCAGACACCCTAGGCCTGTTCACAGGGATAGCCTGGTCTGTGTCAGCTCCATGTCACTAACTCCCCTCCTCCCAGGCTGGCATGGGGCAAGCCCAAAGTCTCCAGATTTCTCAACAGATCCCCATCCTCTATCTCTGGTATAAACACTGGACCCAGACCCACAGCCAGGCCCAGGCAGGGACACACAGATATCATACAGAGCCCCTGGGACACACAAATGTACACACAGGCCCTCATAGATACACACACACATGCATGGACCCCATGGTTGTCCACGTGTCCACGCAGGCCTCCATGGATACACACACACACAGTCAAGAACACACAGGGACACGTATGTATATTCACGTAGGAGGACATGTGGCTCGGATTAAGGAGGCAGCATCTAGAATGAGCCTTTCTTTCTATGTTGACTACGTAATACTGTTTTTAAAGCCTGAAACACCCATAGTCTTGTTTGGTTCTTATAGAGGCCCTGGGTTGGGGGATGGGAGGACCCCATCTGGAAACTTCCAGGTGACTGATGAAGAAACTGACACTCTGAGAGCTGGGAGAAGAGAGTTTCCTCTCTCTTCTCCCAGTGAGAAATGGCCAAGCCAAATTTGGAGCTGAGATTCCGGGTCTGTGAGAGGCCTCTGTCGCATCAGCCTAGACTTTCTGACTCTGGGCCCTTCCTCAGCAAGGATTCTAGGCCTCTGCCCCATCCCTCTCCCTCCTCTAGGACTTTCTGCTGTCCCCAAAGGGTGACAAGGGAACCTGAGGGACACCAGAAGGTGAACCCACAATCTCCAGGATATGGGTCTAAAGGTAGATTTTTCTCAGGTTCCAGCTGAGGTCTAGCTGGAGGTGCCAAGGGGGTAGTTTGTGTTTATGGGCTCTCTGCCACCTTGTCTGGAGACAGGGGGTGACTGTTGGTGCAGTGGGAGGAGATGCTTGCCCTCCCCCCAGTCTAGGGACGCTCATAATAGGATGATTCATCTCTGCTATCCACTCCCAATTCCAGTCCGGAGCCAGCCCCCAACTCTTGAGGCCTAGGAGCAGGAATAATGTCCAGCAGTGGCCTAAGAGTGGGACACATTCTAGAAAGGGAGCTCAAGTGTGGAGAGACTTAGTGGGTTCCTATGTTCTGGCTCCCCACTCCTATGCCTCAGACCTGAGGCTCCCTGGCTTCTCTGCCCTTCTCTACCTCTCCTCCTCATCCCCATGGGGTTTGAGAATCCCAGCTTAACACTTAGTGGCTGAGACCTTAGCAGGTAACTTCTTTTCAAACCTGTTTTGTCCTCTGTGAAGCGGGGAGGGATACACTTATTTTTCGGGGTTGCTTTGCAAATGGGGGGATGTGCTTTCTAAATTTGAAAATATCTGCATGTCTGCTTTGGTCTGCCACTCCCTCCATCCACTTCAGTGCTCTGGAGGAGACTAGGGGGTTTGAAGAGGCTGGGAGGACTGTAGCATGATTTGTTTTCCAATGTCTACACTCTTCTCTACCCCACTTGCTGACAGCAAGAACCATGTATCTTCTGATGGTTCAGGCTGCTCCTACTGAAGCAGAAAGAGTTTGGGGGGCAGGAAATGAAGGGTGTGCCACCACATCCCTGCCCCCTTACAGGGCCCCAGCCGGCCCCTCTGGTCCAGCAGGCTGGGACCTGCATCTTTAGCCCTTCCCTTGCCTGGGAACCCACTCCCCCAGCTCTGACCTCAAGGAGTCACAGCCTCCCACAGGGTGGATGGGCTGTCAAGGCCCCTTCCTGGGTTCAGCCCTCCCGCCCAGGTGAGACATAGACCTTGCTCAAGACGCCCTGGGAGGAGGTGGTGCCTCATCTGCATCCTCCCAGAGCTCCCAGGTGGGCTGGCTTCTAGCCTGCACTTGGCACTGGTTTTCCTTCTCAAAGCACAGGAGGGAGCCCAGAGGGCTATAAGTAAGCTATGTGACTCAGAGCCAGGCCCTACCAAGCTTCAATCACTTCTCCGTGAAGACATGCTTCTTTCTATCTTTTGCCCCAGGGGGCGCCATTGACATTGAACTATAATGCCCTACAGTGAGATCGGGCTGGAGCCCCCAAACTCAGGCCAGCCTGGCACTTCTGGAAAAAATCCCCAGGTCCTGACCCCTCTTAATCCCACATGAGGACTTGTAGGAATAAGGGACCCTTGGAAGGAATTGTATCCTTTCCCCTCTTTCAGGCCGACTAAGAAGCACGAAGCCCCTACCCATATCTTATCTTCTTAGCTCTGACCCAAACCATCCCAATGTGCATGCATATGTATATGTATTTGTATGAATGTGTGTGTCCAAGGTAATTTTAGATAGGGATGAGTTTGATGGGAGCACTTGGTGCAGCACATGTGAACACCTATAAGCTGAGTACAAACACGCGTGTTTAGCGGCCTTGTGTGTGCCTGCTGGTGGCAAAGCTGCCTCTGTCTTTCTCCTGTGCTCCGCTTCCAGGCCAGGCTTGGATGGGCCACGGTGAGGATGAGGTGCTCTGGGCTGGGGTTCCTTACTTTCTTCTAGTGCTGAGGAGCTCCTTGCCAGTTCCTGTCCTTTGCTGCCTTTGCAGCCCCATCTGAGGAATTGAGGGGCTGAGAAGCACAGCACATGATGGAGAGAAGAAAGGGCAGCACCGTGGAGGGTGTGCCCCATTTCCACAGTCTGGGCTCTGGCATCAGGAGTCTAGGGATGCATCTTGAGTCACAGACTGGCAGTGGGGCGGTGGGTAAACACAGTGATGTGCCCCTGATTCACCATGGGGCCTCCCAGCCCGTGGGGGCCTGGGGAGTGGGGGCGCTTCTCCTTGGGCCTTGGGGAGACCTCTTGTGTGGGTTACGTATATGTTTAAGCTCACAGCGAGGCTCTCACGTGAATGGGATCCCATGAGCATGTGAACAGAGCTCAGTGTTTATAGGTGAGAGTGGCTGCCAGCTTTAGGATGTCTGTGTGTGTGCATGTGCATGTGTGTAAATTTTCCCAAAGTGTGTTGCTAAATCTCTGGGCATGAGTCATCTCTGGAGCCCTCATTTCTGACAGCCACTCTGCAAGGGATAAGTGCCCAGGGGATTTAGACCACCTGGATTAAGGACCTCTCCAAAATGTGGTCTCCTCAAACCCATGGAAGAACAGCCCAGGCAACCACACCTCAGTTTTCCAATTATTAAATGCACTATGGGGAGCAACATGGCCTCATCAGATGGCACTTCAGATGGCCTCATCAGGTGGCACCTCACCTCAGATGGGGCCGGCAACCCTCACAGTTTAGCCAGCTTAACCTCTTAAAGGGTCAAACTTTCCCCTGGCTGGAGATCAGTGAAGAGTGGGGGAAGGGAGGGTTAAAAACAGTTGGGACTCACCCTGCTGGCAAGCATATGGCACGTGGCGTGTCAGGACAACTGCCGCTCGGCCTCTGGAGCCATGTGCAAAACATAGGCAGGTCCATGTGTGGCAAATTGAGTTAAGCCAGCCAGGTTGGACAGGCATATGCACAGCCACGAGAAATGTCCAAGTGCGATCTGGTACACAGGTCAGACGCCATGTGTGGACACAGCTGTGGACAGAGCTGGTCAGGACATGCAACATGGGACAGGTAGTCAGCATAAGGAACCACGGCCCACGAACGCTCAGTGTATGTTCTGTGAGCCCACCCAGGTCCGGACTAGGAGAGGGTCTCTTCACCCTTCTGGGCCCACAGCCTCATCCCTCCAGCCCCCGACTGAGGAGGACTTGCTGGGGCCCGCCATCCTGTAGAGCGGGGTGGGGCCAATCCTTTCCTTTCCGACCCGTCTCTCTCACTGGCACGGTCGTGCGGATGACTGTGGGGCTCCAAGGTCTCTAGTGGCGGCTGCATGCTCCCCAGACACTTTCCCGCACCCGCCTGTACCCCACCATTACCTCTCAGACCCGCGCAATCCCCTCGGCCCCCAACACGCCTCCTCCCCTAAGTGCCCTCCCCGAGCAACGTCGTCCCTAAAGCTCCTTACAGCCCCCCGCCGCCCCCTCCCTTCCTCCTCAGCTTCCCCCAGCCCAGCATCGCCACCAGCTTACCCGGGCAAGCTTTGGGGGGCGGCTGCCCACACCTCGGGCGGGCTCGTGGCTCAGCGGGCGGGGCTGCGGGGCGGGCGGGCGGGGCGCGTGCCTCCCGCTCCTATAAAGGGCGCCATCCGGCGCTTCGGGCCACTGCTGCTGGCCCGCTGCGTTCGAGAGTCGTCACGCCCGCTCCGGTGCAGCTGCAGCCATGGGTCGACAGAAGGAGCTGGTGTCCCGCTGCGGCGAGATGCTCCATATCCGCTACCGGCTGCTGCGCCAGGCTCTGGCTGAGTGCCTGGGGACCCTCATCCTCGTGGTGAGTGGAGGGACCCGGAGAAGCCCGTCTCTCTCCAGCCCCTATGCTCCCCGACCCCTCTGTTCACACTGGAGGCGCTTTTGTTTGAGGCAGGCACCACCCCTCTCCCAGCTTTGCTTTTCACCTTGACCCATTCGAGAGTGGTCTTACCCCCTTGCTTTAGTTAGCCCCGTCATGGCAGTTCTGACTCCTGCCAGAATGCCAGCTGTTACTCCACTGTCCGCTCTGATCAGTGGCCCTCTCACTAGGGCCCCAGCCCACCAGCTGGGGGCAGTGGTCTCCCCTGTAGTCTGAGACCTCCAGGGTCCTCTCCTGGTCCTCACCTTCCCAGGTTCCCCGAGTTTCAGCCCTGGAAGGCAGTGGAGGCATTGGCAAATGGGCCAGTATTAGATTATTTGGGTCCTGGATATCTGGCCCCTAATGAATAATTAAACTCCAGAAAGTCCAAAAGTTCCTGTGATGTGAGGACAGTTTGCCATGGGTGGGGACAGAGGGCGGAGGCCACACAGGTGGAAAGAGCAGAGCTGGAAGAAAGGAGGGTCCTGAAGATAAGGAGGCCGTGGAAAGCAGGTGGACCCTGGGCGCAGAGTATGTGGTGTCACTCTTCCTGTCCTGAGTTGCTCCCAGACCAGACTCTGTGCATCACCCAAACAGATGCTATCATTCTCTGTGCCCCAGCACTCTGAGTTACTCCCCACCCTCTAACTCAATCTCTGAGTTTGTGGGTTCTCTGAGTAGGCCACTTCACTGCTTGGGTTACTCTCCAGTCCATTTACTCCCTGGTTACACCACTTTTGTCTCTAGGTTGTTCCTGGGTGACTTTGTTTGCATATTTTGGGTCTGACAGACAACACCACTTAAAGTCTCTCATTTCATGTCCCACCTGCTCTCTGATTTTCAGCCCCTCATGTGGTCACGCCTCTTTTCTTCTGGGTTACTTTTGGGTTCAGTTGCTTTAATGGGGTGAATGGGTTATTCTTTTCCTTGCTCCAGCTCCAACTGTAGGTACTGTAAACCAACCAACACCCTGTGGACTAGGAGCTTAACTATAGAGGCAAGTAGGTAGGACTGGGATGGCTCAAATGGGTAGTGGTGGTGGAGCAGGCTCCATGGTGAGAAGAGGTCTTTTTTTTTTTTTTTAAGATTTTATTTATTTGACAGATATCACAAGTAGGCAGAGAGGAGGGGAAGCAGGCTCCCTGCTGAGCAGAGAGCCCGATGTGGGCCTTGATCCCAGGACCCTGGGATCATGACCTGAGCCAAAGGCAGAGGCTTTAACCCACTGAGCCACCCAGGCGCCCCGTGAGAAGAGGTCTTAGACTCAACCTTTGGCTTCCAGGAACAGCAAGGGAGAAACCAGGTGGGGGCACTCACCAACAGCCCCTCACAGGGCTAGTGGCCCTACCGTTGTCCTCTTCCTTCTCTCCCCCTGCCTAGAAGGGAAGAGGGGCAGGTGCTTTTCATTGTCCTGTCCCAGAGTCTTGTGTCCCTCACTCCCTATCTGATTGTCCCGGACATCCTTGTCCGAGAGCAGCCAGGACAGGGGAAGTTATCTTCCACATTCATAGAAGGGCCTCCAGAACCCCTCACACATCTCAGTTAGCCTCTCCCACAAAGGAGCAGTCAGACCTTTCTCTGAGCCCCAGGATCATTTGGCTTATCCTCAACCACAAAAGGAGAGTGTTAACTTCTGTGAAGGCTTTCGGGCTCAGGTGAGTGGAAGGCATCTGGTGTCAGTGAGAAACAGAACCTCAGAGGCTGCCTAGAGAGGAGGGGCTTAGGCCTGGGAGACCCAAGAGTGGTGGGTGGGGGACTTGCCTGCATACCTCAGTGGGCTGGGGACCCAGAGCCTGTGGTAGCAAGATCAGGGCTGGCCTTGGGATGAGGGGAGCCCCTTTCTCTGGGGTACCTAGCAAGGCAGGGAGTGGGGGAGGAGGAGGAAGAAGAGGAAGATTAGCCCCAAGGTGGTGGAACTGGCTCTGACAGCTTCTCCCTCCAAGGTCTCCTGGGATGAAGCCAGGTTTGGGCCTCAGGCAGGAAAAGAACTGAGGCCAGGGCCTGCCAAGCCGGGCAGGGTGCCCTGGACCCCCATGACCCCCCCTGCAACCCCCTCCACATACTCATGGTCTCTGATCTTTGCTCTCACCTGCCTCCACACCTTTGCCCAGCATCACTGCCACTGGCTTCTCCACTATCTCTTGGTCGTTCTGAGGGATGATAATCAAAATGCTTAACAGCTCAGTACAGCAGGACACTGACCCATCCGAATGGATAAGGGCCCTTAGCACAAGTCTTGGGAGCTGCCCGCTGGCTAGGCATAACACTTAGTTATGGGGAAGTAGAAGAGGAAGCGTAGGGCAGGGGCTGGAGTAAGCTTTAAGGAACACTCTTCAAGGCTCAGGGCAAAGCTCTTTGTGGCTGGTGCAGCAGCATTTTTACATTTAAATAAGAGGAACAGGGTGTTCTATACTTGCGGGACATCAGGGACCTTAGTCCTCTTGAATCTCCCTATCACTGCCAGAAACCTTAGAACCAGTCTGCCCACTTCACTGCCCTGCTACCTCTAGTGAGAGGGACCACTGAGATACTGTCTTTAAGACCTCCACATCTGAGTAGGGAACCTGGACTCCTGAAGGTGGAGAGGTCAGGGTGGGTGGAAAGAGGCGGCGGCTCTGGTACAGGAGCAGGGGCTCAGACATTCCAGATTCAGGCCTAACTTCTTGCCTTTTCCCTATTTCTCTGTGCTGTACGACAGCCCCCCACCACCACCCCTAAGCTCTTTGGGACAAGGAAGGAGGCATGTGTAGGTGGGGGATTAGTGAGCCAGGCCTGACGGGCTGCCGGAGAAACTGCTAGGGTGAAAGCTGCTCCCCTGTACTCCGCTCCTACGGAGATTCCGAAAAAGAGAAGATGGTCCAGTCATTTTTTGGGCTCCCAGTTGTAGACTCTGCTTCCAGTCCCTTCCATGGGGCCCTGTTAAAGTTTGGGCATTGTGGGTGGGAGGGCATGTCTGCTTACTCTGCCAGGTACAGTTGCTGCAGGAGGGGTGTGGTTTGGATTCCCCTGAGAAGGGCTTCCCCAAAGTCTTCAGATGACAGCTGGTGGAGGTAGGTGGTGGAATTCACCCATTTCCTCTGGAATCCGAGAGCTGCTGGGCCTCACTCTCCGCCTGCCTGGTTCTGTTTCCTGATACAGATGTTTGGCTGTGGCTCTGTGGCCCAGGTGGTGCTCAGCCGGGGCACCCACGGTGGTTTCCTCACCATCAACCTAGCCTTTGGCTTCGCTGTCACCCTGGGCATCCTTGTGGCTGGCCAGGTATCTGGTAAGGACTTGCTCCCCCTTCAGTCTTTACCCTCAAATGGCATTCCCACAAGGAACCCAGCTGGGGAAGAGGGTGGTGGAAGACATTCCCAAGGACAAAGCATAGTTGTGGGCTTAGCTTTTTGAGCCTTTGGAAGAGGAGAATGGAGAAGAACTCAATACTTGAACCTTTGACTCTCACTTTGGAATCCGATGATTGGAGGTTGGCCTATTACATAGTCCAGCCTATCCTCTGGTACAGGAAAACCCTTCTCTGCACCCCTGCTTAACGAGGGCCAGAGAAGGGGACTAGGGAGGTTAGGGATCCTGGTTTCCCCACTGTGGCAAGCTACAGTGACTAACAGGTCCCATCTCCCCTCTGCCCAGGGGCCCACCTGAACCCTGCTGTGACATTTGCCATGTGTTTCTTGGCGCGTGAGCCCTGGATCAAGCTGCCCATCTACGCCTTGGCTCAGACTCTAGGAGCTTTCCTGGGTGCTGGGATTGTTTTTGGGCTGTATTACGGTGAGCATTCCCCACCCTGCCATCCTCCACTACCTCCCTCCCTCTGCTTGGTACCTGTTGGCACCCGGCCTTTTGATGACAGACAGCTGGGACCTGCCCAAGCCCCAGGCTCTTGACTCACTCATCTCCCTCACGGGCCCAAGGTGGGGGGCATAAGGGGAAAGAAAGAAGTTGGGCAACAATAGAGTCCCAGGCTGTCCACCCCCCCACCCCCTGCCCCTCCACAGACTCCTGAGTAATACAGCAGTGATGTACCTCATCTGTGATCCCCCAGGAGGGTGGGTCAGCTTCTGCCTTCACTCACTCTGGGTCTGATCTGTTACCAGATGCAATCTGGGACTTTGCCAAAAATGAGCTCGTGGTCTCGGGCCCCAATGGCACAGCTGGCATCTTTGCCACCTACCCCTCTGGACACTTGGACATGGTCAATGGATTTTTCGACCAGGTATGGGCCAGGGAATTGGGAACATGGGGGAGGATCAAGCTGCTCAGCTGCTCATGGGTGGCAGGACGACGGGACTCCTTGTCTACAGGGTTTCTCAGTTGGGGTTTGGGGGACACCTACCTCACAATCATGGCGGCAGGTACTTACAAAACAGGAATTGGCATCTTTAGCCAGTTCTCCAGGGAATCCCTTTTGCTCGATCACATTCTAGCACCCCTGCTGGAAAGAGCTGAATATGGGAAATGGTAAGACTCTGGGAGCCCAAGGACAGAGGAAGGACCAGATGGTGGGATGGGAGTAGCTCCTCACCCTGTTCTCCCTATACTCCCCAGTTCATTGGCACCGCCTCCCTCATCGTGTGCGTGCTGGCTATCGTTGACCCCTACAACAACCCCGTCCCCCGTGGCCTGGAGGCCTTCACCGTGGGTCTGGTGGTTCTGGTTATCGGCACCTCCATGGGTTTCAACTCGGGCTATGCTGTCAATCCCGCCCGGGACTTCGGTCCCCGCCTTTTCACCGCCATTGCTGGCTGGGGCTCCGAAGTCTTCACGTGAGTGCAGTCCCCACCCAGCCTGCCCTAGCCTGACACCCCTCTGCTGCCCCACCCGCCCCGACTGCCTCTGTCTGTCCCCAGGACTGGCCGCCACTGGTGGTGGGTGCCCATCGTCTCTCCACTCCTGGGCTCCATTGCGGGCGTCTTCGTGTACCAGCTCATGATCGGCTGTCACCTGGAGCAGCCTCCGCCCGCCACTGAGCAGGAGAATGTGAAGCTGGCCCATGTGAAGCACAAGGAGCAGATCTGAGTGGGCAGGGGCCTCCTCCCCACCCCCCTTCCTCGAGCACCCACAGACTGTGCAGGGGCTGCTCCCTAGAAGCCTTCACGGCTCCCTCCCAGATGAAGTTCCTGGTCTACTCCCACTCCAGTGGACAGCCCCCTTGGGGATTCTCCCCAGGACCCTCCCCAAATGGGCCGTTAGGACACTGTCTTTAAGCAGTGGTGGGACAGGGAGTAGGGCCAACGTACTCTTAGTTTCCCAAAAAGAATGGGCTGTGTGTGTGTGTGTGTGTGTGTGTGGTTTCTAAGACATTCAGGGCAAGGGACCAAGTGGAAAGGATACTAGCTGTGGGGGGAGCCCAGAGGAGGGGGAGGGGTCTGTCTGTGGTGTGTCCGTCCCATCAGTGAGTGAGGAAAGTGTGAGAGGTCTGCATGTTTCAGGGGCTCCATGTGGAGAAGGGTCCAGATACATGTGTTCTGAGTATGGGTGTGTATGTGCCCTTTTTTCTAAGCAGGGGACTTCTCTAGATTTTAGGGGAGGGAGGGACTATGGAGGGAGGGTGGGACAGAGGAGGCCACAGCCCAGGTGTTTGTGGAGCTCAGAGCTCTGGCTGTATATAAGTAGGAACAGAGAACATAGTTCTGTCATAATGTAGGCACAAGGGTGGTGGGGTGAAGTCTCGTGCTTGGTTTTTTTTTTAAATACAGTGGATGTTTGTTTTAGGGATGGGGGGTTGGGAGACTCTACTTAAAATAGGGTCTTTACTCCTTTAATCCTCCACTCAAAGTACTCTTTTCTCCTTTTATATAAAAAAAAAAATGAATAAAATGTGTGCCTAAAACTGCCAGTTGTGCGAATTTCTCCCAGCTTGCTCTGCTGCTATTCTGGGGCTAGCTAAGGTGCTTCACTATGTCCAGTCACAAACGCCAGCCAGGGCCCCTGCTTGGTGTTTCACCTGGCCAGGGCAGCAGCCTAGGGCTAGTACTTGGGGACCCTGCTGGTGGGGTCAGGGGCAGGAATCAGTCCCACAGACAGGTCAGAGCCTCTTCACCAAGCCTTTCAGTTTGAACTCAGTGGCCCCACACTTCTCCCAAGCTTTGAACCTCTTGCACAATGAACGGCATATCTCCTTCCTGACTCCTGCATCCACCCACCATCCCATGAAAGCAGGCTTGAACCTGGCTTGAGAAAAATATTTTCTCGGGTAGCTAGCTGGCCAAAGGGGAGGAGGACTGCTGCTCAGGAAGTAGTGAGCTTTCTATTGCTTGAGGAAACCAATCAGACCATGGCCCTGAATCGTCTTCTATAGCTTGCTGTATCACCTTCCACCCCGACCTTGGCCGCAGACCCTTTAGCGGCCTCCCTGGCACCAGGCCTGCCCCAGCCAGACTCTATAGGAGCAATGAAGGATCTTTCTGACACCACTGTTGAAGTGGGCTTCTGTCCATGGCTCTGCCTGCTCTTTAGACACAACCCAGAACACTCCGCAATCAGCGCCCCCACGACCGGGCCCGTGGTTCCTGTTTGTCCTCTCACCATGCTCCGTCACCCGCAGACTCCTCGGTGCCCTTCTGTGCCTGCCTCCCTTTGGACCTTTGCTCCAAAGTGCTTACTTCGGAACTCTTCTGGTCTTCTCTAGCATCTCCTCCTTCAGAAAGTCATCCTTACTCTTCCCACCGTTCCACCATTTTCTAGTCAGTCATCTGAACTCAGGGACCACATTTAATCCTGCCTCCCCCTCTTTTCAGTTCTTCAGTCTAACACTTCCGATGCTCATAAGCCTGGGATGGGACCCACTGACGCTGGTATCTTGACTGCCCCCAGGGAGGCAAGGGGCTCTGCACCCTGAGCCCAGGAAGCTCTGTGAGGAAATCATGTGCTCCTTCTCACCTTCTCCTTCCCTACCTCCTTACCAGATGCTCTTCAAGTTTCACTGGGAACAAAAGGGAAGGCGGGCCAAAGCTTAGCTCTCCTGCAGAGTTAACTCCATGGCAGCCAGAGGATCTCTGGGTCTGGCAGGAGAAATGTGGTCTTTAGAGATTAAGCTGGTGATCCCCAACCACGTCATAGATGAGGGGACTTGGTCCAGAGAGGGTGAGTGGCAAATGCAGGACCACACAGCCAAGACTCAGGGGGAGGTGGCGATGGGAGAATGCAGTTCCATCCCAGGTCTCCAACCCCTCCTTGTCCCCAGCTCCCAAGAGGTGTGTCTGGAATGTTGGAGAGACCTGAGCCAGAGGGAGTGTCCCCTTCCCAGGCCCTGCGGGGAGGAAGGGCCACCCTTGGGAGGGGAATGTGGTTTCAGAATTTCATTCCAGCCACACCAGTCCTACCTCTGGTGTCCCTAACCTGCCGTCCTCCCCAGATGCCCCAAGCCTTCTCAAATCCTGCCCCTGATCTGGACCAGTCAGCCCCGAGAGTGGCGGGAGGCCCTCTGGTGCAGTGGTTGAAGAGTGGTCAAACCTGGATTCCAGGCCCAGCTTGGCTTCTCTTTAGCGGTTTGACTTTGGGGTGGTCATTTTTCTTTCCCTGAACCCCAGTTTCCTATGAATTGGGAGATACTGAGTCGAGGAGGTAGTGAAAGATAAGTCATGAAAAGCACTTAGCAGAGTGACCAGCAGAGAGCAAATAGTCAATAAATGTCACCTTAAGATTTTTCCAGCAGAATTGGGGAGGAGGGGATGGTGGTGGTGGAGAGATGCTGAAGGCTGTTTTTTTAAAGGTCACTGAATTCAACATCCTCTTCCGCCTCAGATTCTTTCCATGGCTTCTGAATTTCCTGAGATGGGGAGGAGGAATGGGGGTGATAGTTTGCTGTGCTCTGACTTGAGGGGCCTTTCCAAGAGGGATCAAAGGGAAACACAAGAGGGTCGCATGCATAGGTGAAGGGGAACAGGCAGCCCAAGGAATGTGTTAGACGGAGGGTCAGACCGCCTGAGAAGGGGTGGGGCCTGATCAGGTCCAGAGCAGGAAGTCAGGGCAGGGTCTGGTAGGGACAAGAACCAAGCCGCAGTGTGCGACCCCTCCAGGCGTGGGAGGGAAACTTCCCCCCTCCCCACTCCTGTCCAGGCTCTGCCTCTCATTAGTAGTTCTAGCTGATAACAAGTCAAAGAAATGTCTTCATCTAGTTTAGGAAAGTATTTTAATCCACTTTCCAGGGTGGGCTTGGCGGGAGTATCACCTTGCCGGAGGGTAGACAGCCCACACCTCAGCTCTGTCCTTCCCATCTCGAGTCCCTTGAGCCCTCTCCATCGCTCACTTTGGAGTCACCTGTGTTTCTTTAAAGTTCTAACTTGTTTGTATAGATATCAGCCTCCCTGAAACCTGAGCTCGGTTCCTGTTTCCTTGTGTGCCTGCCTGTGTGTGTGTGCACATGTGCGAGTGTGCATTTCTCAGTGTTTTTGGGTGTGGATGGCTTTCAGTATCTTATTATGTCTCTGTGGGTTTGTGGCTCTGGCCGACCAGGTCTCTGCCCCTTTCTGTGTTTCTGTCACTGCCTGGCTCTTTGTGTCTAGCTCTTTCTTTGTGTACCTCTAAGTGAACATCTCGTGTACCTCAGCCCTTCTGTGTACAGCTTACTTAGGAGTGACTCTCCTACCAGCCCAGTCCCGCTCGTCTGACCCCAGGGCATGCCTCCTCCTTAATTCCTGGTAATGAGCTCCCTCCTTGTTGCTAACTCTTTCCCCTTGATTTTGTTTGTCTGAAAACCTGGGTGGGGCTCCCCCAGGCTTGGGGAAGCTTGGGTGGGGTAGAGTTGGGTGGGGTGGGAAGGGGAGAGTAGGGATGACTCCACCCCAGGCAGAGACCCCAGAGGCCAGAGGTGCCCTTGATCTTCGAAGGAAGGGGCTGTGGGGGTGCTAGCCTAGGCAAGGCCCTGAAAAGCCTCATTGGGAGGAGGGAGCCTGTTCTGGGGTGGGTCCCCGAGTTGTGGGCCAGGGAATGCTGATAGTGCAAAGAGAGGAGAGGATGAGGCACTGGGGCCCTCAGGGAGACTGAAGGGGGGGCTCACTGTAGAACACCTCTGAATCCTAAGTGGATAGCAGCTGGGGGTGGCCTCCTCTGGGACTCAGTATCACCTGAGGCCTCAGGCTTTGGTGCCAGGTTTATTTGAGGTAAAGGAGAGAGTGGCAGTGGGAACAGAGGCTCTTTCTGGTCTCTTGGCTCCTTGGCTGTCCCAGAGTGGCATGAAGGGGAAACTGAGACCCAGAGTCTCACTCAGGATCTCAGAGCAGCATGGCAAAGCCTGCATTAGAATCCAGTCTCCTGCCCCTAACCTGGCTGCCTGCAGCCCCTTTCCAGACAGCACTTTGCAACAGCTCAGGAAGCAAGGCTTCAGGTCCAGCTTTCCAGCCCTACCAACCTGTGGGACCTTAGGCATGTGCAGTTCTCCAGTTCCCCCCACATGCAATCTCTGGCCTGCTCTATGCTGAAGGAGGCTAATATCTATGCAGTGCACCCCGGGGCCATCTTGCTGCTGGCTTACCTTGGCTTTGGCAAACTGGAGACACAGGCAGGAAATCAGAGGGCAGGGCAGATGGAGTGAGGGGAAAGGTCAGGGCCTTCACACTTTTGCCTGAGCTTTCACTGCATCCCAGTAACACTGCTCTGTTTGGCTACCTGCTCTCAGTCCTCAGGCTTGTTCGTTCCTGTGACCCTGATGGTGCCTCTACGTCGTCCCATCCACAAGCTCACGTCAGTGAGGCTCTCTGAGGATACACTGTTCCCTCTGGATCCCTGACAGACCCCCTCTATGCTCTTCAGTTTCTTCATCGGTGCAATGGGAATAGTAACAGTCCCTCACCGGGTTGCATGAGGTAAAGATTAAGTGAGTAATGTCTGTATACAACAGTGCCAGATGCAGAAGTAAGTGCTACAGAATGTAAAATAATATTATTATTACTGTTATTATCATGCTTCCTTGTGAGCTCCCTGTATACTGTGGAGAGGGAATGTGTGAAGCCAAGGTTGGTTTGGAGAGAAGTGACTAACTCTTCAAGGCCCTCTCTTCCAGCTCCAGGCTGTTAGCCACTTCTGTGGGGCCTTAGTCAGCCAGGGGTCTAGCTGCAGTCCCTCCAACTCACTTGAACCCAGCTTTCCCTGAGAGGACTGGGATGAGGGG